TGTTGGTTTGGTAAAGGGTGTGGATCGAACAAAACAGGAGTGTTATAGTTCAATATTTTGTTATCTTAGCATGTAATATCATTAATCTTGCATTGTAGCCAATTATTAATAAAACTGCCGTTTTGCATATATAATCGCGTTTATTTTGCATGTGTATTTCGTGAATTTATTTTAATGTATTGCTATCAACGTCTATTAACTCGCATATAATCGAGGGTTTTTTCACGCAGACATTAGTCCGCAAACAATAGCATAGACGTCATGTATCACGGGCTAGGTCCTGAACATTTGTATTTATTTTTTCGCATGTATTAATAAAAAATTTTTTCTTGGCATCGGCGTGAAGATTCTTCACGCGTACATAATTTTCTGCTCGTATAGTTAATTGAATATATACACATTTATATAAAAAATGGCAAATACACAATCCAAGGTTGATGAGTTGAAAACTCAAGACTCTGTCTCTTCATTAGAAGAACAGAATTCCAAACTCGTAGCTGAGATCACAGAATTAAAAAGAGAAAAGGCCGAATTCTTGGCTAAGGAAGCGGGTTTTAAAGCTAGAATTATGGAATTAGAACAAACTTTGAATGATTATGAAGCTAGGTTCGCAAATCTAGAGCAGAAAGATGAAGAAAAAACTATTTATATGGCAAAGATAGATGATGAAATTAAGGAAATTAAAAAATCTTCGGTCAATAGCACACTTACTGAAACGGAAAATCCCAATATTACTCCTGAATCTGATATTTCTAACGACACTTCAAATTCTGATGAATCCAATAATGCTTTTTTGGAATTATCTGAAAATGTAGATCAAGAAACTGGGACATTAGTACCGTTGGAAAGCAATAAGTTTCAATGTTCTACACCGCTTATGTACACAGGGTCTAAATCATTAGAGGATAAAGAAATTTTTGATTTTCTGGTTCGGGTAGATAAAGAAGAGGTTAAAAATATGATGGCAAAGAGAAATAGGGAAAAGAAACTATTACAAAGCAATAAAGATCAGAATGCTTTGGGAGAATCTATTAATCAAACACAAAGTACCATTTCTTCTGAAATAAAAATTCTCTATAATCAAAAGGTTGAACAAGGTTTAATATGTGAGTTATCTACATTAATTAATGAGAAAAGCCTTTCAAATTCCATATCTGATAAACAAATTCTTGAAAATATGCTAGATGGGGATGATTCAACTCCAGGTTCTGCATTACATTTGGCCCATTTATTCGACAAGGCTAAAAAAAACTGGCCAGAAAGAAATATTACGTTGGTATTGCTATAGTGAGGAATTCGAGAAAAAGGTCAGAGACATTAGCTTAAAAAACGAACTTAATGATCAAATGGCAAGAACACAGATTTATAATGAAATGGAACCATTCCTTCCTGGCATCAAGAGAGAGTATTTGCATAAGAAAACTCAAAAGGCTAGAAGTATTTATACATTGTTCAAAGAAATAGGATTAGATAAAATCAAGCATATTACGTATGGTGCTGATGCTATTTCTAGTTTAACAGGTGTTCAAATCCAAAACATAATAAAGCTTTTCTCTGAAAAAACTGAATGTCAAAAAGAAATCGGCATGAAGATTCTTCACACGCACATGGCCGAACCATCTAGTTCAAAAGATGCATCACCTAAAGAACAGATTAATTCTAGTCACTGTGTGACTACCTTTGGCAAGAATAACTATATAAGTTTTCATAGGAAAGTATTAGATCAATATCCCAATATATTTTATGAATTTAATGATGAAAATATCGATTATTATGGAATTACTGATGGGGCATTATGCCTTTTATACAAGTTAGACCATGATGATGAGGAAGGTATAGAAGGTAGATATGAAACTGGAGAATCGAAAATGAGTCAAAGACTTGAAACTAAGCTTTCTCGATGCTCGGCATCATCATACTATATTAAATGTGAACAACGTGAAATTCAAATAACTGCATAAATAAAATTTATTTGTCCGCACTTTATAACATATCAGTATGCAATAATACAAAATTAATATTTTTTTGGCTGTGCCTACTTTGCTAATACGTAAGTGATATATTCAAATATTACCCAAGGATAAGGTGTAATTGTTATCCTTACTTGGTGATACTCCAAAGCATAGCCACTATATGACTATTTCCGGTAAATTTTTATCTCTTAAATTGTAACACAGGCAAATTTGCCTGTGTTTTTATTAAAAAGTTTAATTTTTTTAATAAAAACTTAT